ACATTTTCTTTCCCGTAATTATTGAAGTCAAAAGTATAGTTTAGTTTGCTATATGCATACATCTCCTAGCATTGGCTTAAAAGGCAAAATGGCCTTCAAAAAATGTCCAACCTTTGATCCCTGGTTCCTATCAACATTTTCCTTAATAACAAGAGAGACTTTAGAAAGTCAGTTAAGCTTAGGCCCAATCTACTCACATGACTCCTTAAAAGCAGAGAAGAGACAAGCTACTCTCAGCTCACTATTCAAAGAGTGAGAGCAACAGTGACGGAGTTTTTGCGTGATGAGTGTCATCTTCACAATATAGAAAAACAAGGTCACCTCCAGCAAGACACCTCAGAAAAGATTAAACTCGTAGCAGAGACTAAGGAGAGCGGCAGCCACGGAGACCATCAGGATCACAAGGGCACCAGGCACCATCCCCTTGGTGAACACGGAAGCCAAGCCGGACCTTAGAGCAGACCAGGGGGGTGGTCCGACCCTCACCAGCCCAGGAGGGCAGCCGGACGCCGCCACAGCCTCAGGCGCCCCCGCCAGCCCACAACCTGCCCCAGTGCCTTCTCTGCGCCCTCTCGGTGACCCCCACGACAGCTCCAGCCACAGTGACTCCTGGCTCACTGTCACCCCTGGGACCGGCAGGCCTCTGTCCGCCAGCTCAGGAGGCTCCACGGCGGCCCCGGGGCCCCCCCAGGCTGCCTTCGATGCCAGCGTCTCCGCCCCTCCCGAGGGGCTTCCTCAGGGAACATCCTCAGCGACACCCTCAGCCCCGAGGGCCCCCGCTCACCCCCCCCGGGGCCTCAGAAAGCACTGTCCCCCGAGCCGAGGAGGAGGCTGTGGCCGCCCCCAGCATGACGGCCCGGCTGCCCCGTCCTCTGTCCACAGTGGTGTCCACGGCCACAGGGAACTTCCTCAACCGCCTGGTCCCTGCGGGGACCTGGAAGCCTGGCCCCGCCGGGAACATCTCCCACGTGGCCGAAGGGGACTCCCCCCAGCACAGAGCCACCATCTGCCTGAGCAAGATGGACATTGCCTGGGTGGTCCTGGCCATCAGCGTGCCCATCTCCTCCTGCTGTGAGTGCCCTCCCCACCCCTCCCCTTCCTCTCCCTCCTCCACACCGACTTGCCCGTCCCCAGAACCCCCTGGCCCAGGATTGGACAGTCCCCACCAGGTGGGGGGCAGAGCTGTTCGGAATCCCAGGAAACAGGTGGCATGACAGGGATCATGGTTCTCCCTCCTCCTGGTCCTTGGCTCTGCCAGTCACAGCTCGATGCCCACTGGTCATACAGGCACCGCTCCCAGGGGCGGGGAGGACCCCGCAGGGAGTCCAGTTTACCCTGCACGTTGCAGGAAGAATCTCCAAACTAGAGGGCAATGTGGTCACTTGAGACCCCAGGGTTAGCGAGAGGCAGGCTGGGAGAGAGCCCACAGCGCCTGTCTTCCAGCCCACTGCCCCTGCCACGACACCACCCTGCCCTCCAGGGTCGCCTGCGACCGCCTGTCGTGATGCAGCAGCGGCAGCGAGGAGCCTGGGTGAGACTGGGCACTTGCAAATTACAGCAGAGCCCTCACCTCCTCCCTACATCTCGTCCACATCCCTTCCTGTCTTTCCTCCCCTCCCACATCTCTTCCCCTCCTTCTGTCTCTCTCCCCTCAAGAAAGAAGGGCAGAGCAGCTGTGGTCTTGCAGGAAGTTGTTAGCCCTGGCAAAAACAGTGCCTGCAGCTAAACTGAGGCTTCAGAGTTACCTGCGAACTGAGCTGTTCGCTCCCGGTTTTGTGTGTTCACGGGTGTGAGCTGGATGCCGCGTGGACTCATCACTGCGCTCTGCTCCCACTGGTGTTGGTGCAGAAGGGCTCTCCCCTGGTGACCGGCGGCACTTCTTGCTGCTGCTTCCGCCACCCCCACCCCCACCTCCGTGTCTCCATAGAGAACCTGCTGTCGTCACTCAGGACCAAGGGCTTCATGTCTTCGCCAGGTGCTTGATCCTAGATTCTCAGTTTCTCTGATAACCTCACAAGGATGCTCACTGACCTCAGCCCCACCCACCCACCCCACTCAGCTACCATCCGGCCTCCCTCTGAACCCTCCGGGCGAGGAACCCCTGTGTGCTCACTCGGGACAGCCCGTTCTCCCTCGGGTTGTTACCCTGCTCTCTTGGGGGCCAGAATTTGCCTCCTTGTAATTTTCACTCTGTGCCCTAAGCCATGCCCTCTGAAACTACACAGAACCGGTCAGTCTGCCGGCCCCAAAACATTTGAGATGGCTCTCAAGGTCAGTCTTCTCTTTTCCCAAGCTGCTCGCCCTGTTCCTGCAGGTCCCTCCACGGCAGCAGTTCTCAACCTGTGGGTCGCGACCCCTTTGGGGGTCAAATGACCCTTTCACAGGGGTCGCCTAAGACCATTGGAAAACACATATATAATTACATATTGTTTTTGTGATTAATCACTATGCTTTAATTATGTTCAATTTGTAACAATGAAAATACATCCTGCATATCAGATATTTACATTACGGTTCATAACAGTAGCAAAATTACAGTTATGAAGTAGCAACGAAAATAATTTATGTTTGGGGGTCACACAACATGAGGAACTGTATTAAAGGGTCGCGGCATTAGGAAGGTTGAGAACCACTGCTCCACAGGCTGCATGGCCCTGGCCCTCGCCCTGGCCCTGCCCCTGCCCCCATCATGGCCCCTCCACTGGCCCCCAGCCCATCCCGCCCCCCAGAAGGGAGAGGACAGCATCCACATGCCCAGCCACGCGGAGGGGCGCGATGGTCCTTTGTTCAGGCAGCACAGCCTGGCATCAGCGTTGTCGGTTGCGCTGACCGGCACGTCTCACCCTGGGCTCACCACTCTCTGGAGGAGCCCAGCCCTAGAACCTGCACACAGAGGAGGCCGTGAGGCAGGTCGTCTGGCCGTCAGGCAGGAGTGTGTGCCTTTAACGTGGCATCATTTCGGCTTGGCACTGCGCTCCACCAGATCGGCTTAATCTGGATTCTGGATCCTCTCCAGGAGCCGCCGCTCCTGCTTTCTGTCTCCTTCCAGTGGGAGAGCAGAGCAGACTTCCCATGTCAGGGTGGCAGCCTGTCTGCTCAGGGACCCAGGTCACAGAGGTGAGCATGTTTGCAGGTTGTAGGTTGTATTGTTTCATTAGGCAGCTTTATTATCGCTCATGGAAACACACGTGTATTCTTTTCTTTTTTCCTTAATCCTCACCCGAGGATATGTTTGTTGATTTGAAAGAGAGAGAGAAACATCAGTGTGAGAGGCTTTGATGTGAGAGAGAAACATCAATCGATTGCCTCCCATACATGCCCAACCAGGGATTGAACCCACAACCAAGGCATGTGCTCTGACTGGGAACTGAACCCGCAACCCTTTTGGTGCACGGGACGACGTTCCAACCAACCGAGCCACACCAGCCAGGGCCACACATGTATTCTTAAATCTGATTGTCCACTTCTAAAACAGAAGAATGGGCCCTAGCCTGTTGGCTCAGTGGATAGAGTGTCAGCCTGCAGATCGAAGGGTCCCGGGTTCGACTCCGGTCAAGGGCATGTACCTCAGTTGCAGGCTCCTCCCTGGCCTTGGTTGGGGTGTGTTCAGGAGGCAACCAATTGATGTGTTTTTCTCACATTGATATTTCTCTCTGTTTTTCCCTCTCTCTTCCACTCTCTCTAAAATCAATGGAAAAATATCCTCGGGTGAGGATTTAAAACACACACACACACACAAAGAATGACAATAAGAAAATATTGTACTTTTAGCCAATAAATAATTAATCATGGTCATAGTAGGAAGTAACCACATTGGAGACAGCTTTCTAATTTTCCATCCTTCACATGTGCCCAGAGGCTCTAGTTTACAAAGTGAGTTCCCATTATTTTTATCCATTCCAGCCTTAAAACAGACTCGCCAGAGGAATAAAATAAAGAGAAACAAACACACTGGGCAAGGAGCACACCCTACAGATGGGGAGTACGTCACCAGGTGAACTGACTTCCCCAGGACTCAATCACATAGGAGTCCACCCAGATCTGGTGGTAGAATCTGTCTGATGGAACACGCTATTTCCCGAGTGCCCATTGTGTGCCAGGCACTGTGCCAGGCACTGGGCAGTCAGAGATGTGTGCTGTGCTCCCCTGTCCAGAGCCCTCTCCCCGCTGGCTTCCTCTTTGCCTGGGCTGGACAGCAGGAGTAGATCTACCCTTGGCCCCTACAGGCCACACCTGGGCTTTGCAATTCTAGTCCTTTTGCTATGTGTGCGTGTGGAACAGAGCAGATCTTACTGCAAAGCCAGAAACCCCGTGAGCTGCCTCAGCCATGCATAATCACATCAGCTGCGGCAGAAGTAAGGACACAGCCTGGCACAGCACCTGGAGAATGCTTCTGGCACAGCCTTCAGGTGCTGGGGATAGGACAGATACTTCGTCAAGGATGATACTCACCTGTGTTCAAAGCAGACTCTGTAGCCCCGTGGACCTCTGACCCCACTTCTTAGGCGTCTGTCCTGCATTTCCACTCCCCTGAGCTCACTCACCAAGGCTCCTGCCTCAGCCCTGGCTGCCTCCACACACAGCTGCTGTCCTCAGTCATGGCCCCGACTTCTCAGGGTCATCGTTCACCTGGGAAGGCCCAGCAAGGAGGAGCATTAAGAGAGAACACTTGTCCCTGCAGGACGCTGTGCTCTTTCAAGGCACAGGTGCGTGCGGATGCAGACGGTTTTCATAGCTGCACCCCAGGCCTAGGGCTCTGTCTCAGACCTTCCCAACGCCAGCATTTATTCTAAAGCTCACTCTGCAGCCTTCTAAGAAGGGCCTCCTCCGTTGCCGTTTGCCAGGTATTGCAGGCAGCCTGGGTGGCAGACAGGACCAAGCATAGATGCTCTCACATCTGGCTTTTCAGTCCAGCCCTGGCCCTGCTTTTCTCCCTCCTCCAGAGGCCAGACTCCAGATGGCGGGGACCACTGAGCAGATGGGTGGGTGACTCCCCTGCTCTGGCAGGATCAGAGGGCAGTCTTAGCGCATCTCAGGCCTGCCCAACAGGATGTCACCAGTTCCCCTGCCCGCCCAGGTCTGAGCCCCACCAGCAGCCAAAGGACACATGAGCCAGCCAGAGACCGCACACAGGGTTTCAGATGGCTGAGGAATGGGATTGGTCGGATCCAGGCCTCCCTGGGCTGGGGCAGGGGAACCATGCGGCTCCTGAGCTGGTCTCTGCTGCCACCATCAGGACACACGGCCCACCACCTCCCGCCGGAGGCTCCGGGCCTCGTGCTGCATGGACCCTCCCTCACCTGTCAGCCCTCTGGGTTCTCACCAACTCAGTTTTGTGTCTCTACCAGGCTCCCTGGCCTGGCCTGCACATGCCACACCCAGTCCTGAGAATGTGGAAGGTGAGGGCAGGAAGCAAGGCCAACTGCGCAGGCTTTCCTCACCAGGCCCTGTGTGCAGCCATGTGCCTTGCCCAGAGCACCCGCTCCCTTCCTCCATAGGGTACTCCACCGGAGCATCTGTGCAGGGGTCACCGACCACACTGGTGTGCACAGCGTGGCTCTCGGCTGTCTCAGTTGTTCTGAGAATGGCAGTCAAGTCTGAATGTGTGTGTGTACCTTTTACTCACAGGCCCCATGTGACTGTGACCTTGTAAGAAAACCTGTTAGAGTTACTCTTTCCAGTGAAGAGACTAGAGGAGATCAGGACGAGAAGGAAGTGTGACCTGGGGGGCTCCTGAGCCAGGTGAACAGGGAGGGAGCAGCCTTTGGCAGGGCAGGGCTGTCCAGGCGTGTCCTCAGCTGACCGGCATCATGCCCAGGCTCTCAGCTCTGCTCTGTGCTGCCCAACCAGCGCCCCCTTGTGGGGACCTCCTGGGCTTCCTCAGGCATATTCCCTCGGGCCAGGGTGGGGAGTCAGGCAGCAAGTCCCCAGCCTGGCTCCCATGGCCCATGGCCTCGGCCAGTCTTGCCACCTTCCACACACTGAGGCCTCCCCTGGACCTCCCCCCTCAGCCTCCAGGAGGGAAACGACTGCCCCAGCCTGGCTCATCGCACTCCTGGGCCCTCCCTCCCTCCAGGGCCCCGTTCGTCACACACACAGCAAAGGGCCCCCCTGAAGTGTGTCCGCGCTCCCTGCTCTCTCATTTCCTAACCTTAGACCTGCATGGACCGCTGGTGAGGGAGCCTGTGTGATGGGAAGACGTGGCTTGGGGACCAAACACACCTGGACGTCATCCCAGCTTCCCACTCACAGCCTGGGAGACTTGGGCAAGTTACGTATCCACTGGTCCACTGCCTTCTCCCCTGCAACATGGGCCAGTGTTCTCTGTTAGTCCGGGCCTTCGGGAAGCAGACACCAAAACGGGTTAGGCCTCAAGCGGATGAGTGGGGCAGCGGCTGTGAACTATAAAGGGAGGGGCTGGAGCACAGGGAAGCCTCGGGCTGCAGCGCAGCTCTGCCGCTTGCGAAAGGAGCGGGAGAGCCCAGCTGGCGTGGCTCATTGGTTCAGTGTCGGCCCAAGAACCAGGAGGCCACGGTTCAATTCCAGGTCAGGGCACATGCCTGGGTTGCGGCTCGATCCCCAGTAGGGCGTTTGCAGGAGGCAGCCGATCGATGTTTCTATCTCTATCTCTCTCCTTTTCTCTCTCTCAAATCAATTTTTAAAATATTTAAAAAGTAGAAAGGAGCCGAAGCCGGTTTGGCTCAGTGGATGGAGCATCGGCCTGCGGACTGAAGGGTCCCGGGTTCGATTCCGGTCAGGGGCATGTGCCTGGGTTGCGGGCACATCCCCGGTGGGAGATGTGCGGGAGGCGGCTGATCAATGTTTCTCTCTCATCGATGTTTCTAACTCTCTATCTCTCTCCCTTCCTCTCTGTAAAAAATCAATAAAATATATTTTTTTTAAAAAAGTAGAAAGGAGAGGGAGGCGGGAGGATTGAGGAGTCTCGAGCTGCAGTGCCATTTTAAGGGAGTTTCTAACGGGCCAGTGGAGACCTCAGGTCATGGGGCGTCCCTGTCCTGCAGGAGCAGAGCACTGGTACCCGACACCGTTCTCACGGCTGGGAGCAGCCCAGGGAGCGCGGCCTCGGCACAGACGCAGTGGCGGGTCCAGGGCAGCAGCTGGGCCATCCCTGAGCTGTGCTCCCTGCAGCAGGGGCTCTGAGCAAAGCGTTTTCGTGGCTGCAGCACCCACTCCAAAGAGACGATGCCTCCAAGGCCCATCGCGGTGCCTGCCGTGGAGAAGGTGCTGCGTGCATGGCAGGGGTCGTGGGGCAGTTACGATTCCCCCTGCTGTTAGGATTTGCTGTGCCTTCTCCATCAGGCCTGGGGAGGCACTTTAGCAGGTGCTTGGAAAGGCTGAGTCCTCGGGGAACCTGCAGGAGTTCGTTTCCATTTCCTGTCGCACAGGGAGCCTATCCCTGGAACCGTGCCTCCCCCTCAACACAGCATTGTTCCTCCTTCCTCCAATCCCTGGGCTCTTCCTTCCTGCCACACATCTGACAGGTCCGGGATGATCCCCACGGGCACTCCTAGGGGGCCCAGAGGACTTGCTGAGCCCGCACTCCACTTTAGAACGTGAGGAAGTCGAGATCTTGACGTCCTGGGGAGTCTTTACAGCTGTTGCCTTTGGGGGAGCAGAGCAGTTGGAGCTTCTAACTGAACCGGAAGGGGGTGGCCAGCACCGGTGTTTGCACAGAGCTGTGTATGTACAAAGCACCTCGTGTGCTAAGGGGCGTCCACTCCAGAGTCCAGGGCAAGATGGGACGGCAGGCATCAACCCGAGGGTCACAGAGACCGGGGTTCAAGTCCCAGGGACGAGCTGGGTGAGCAGGGCCAGTTGGGGGGGGGGGTAACAGCAGCTTCCTCCACAGCCGCTTCGTGGGTTAAACTGGGCGATAAGGCACCTAGGTCAGCGCTGGGGACACATCAGAGATGCCACACGTCTGAGCTGTACTTTCCTTTCCTGGATGAACAGTCAGTCGCTGAAATAACGAGAGTTCTAAGCCGCCCGTGGCCTTGAGTCATGCAGCCCAGTTTTCTTCCTGGGTCTCTGTGTGGAGGATGCTGGGAGAACGAGGAGACTGTTAATCATGCACCTGTTGTGTGTCAGGCAGCGTGTAGGCATTTGCGTTCATGGTCTCTAACTTTCCTTACAAACCTGTGAGGCCCCCGCTGATCAGCGTGGTGAAGTGCCTTGCCTAGTCTAACACGTGGCAGAGCCAGGCTTGAACGCAGGTCTTTGGACTCCAAGCCCCGGCTCTGTCGCCAGGCCGGCTCCCATGTGGCAGGGAAGTGCACCTGAGCGGCCCTGGGAGCTGCTGAGAGATGCAGTCAGGACGGGAGCACTCACAACACATGAAGCAGAGAGAGGTGAGAACAGAAGTCCCTGTCCCAACCCTCAGGCCACCCCACCAGGGCCAGCCTTTGCACAGGACTCAGGGCAGGAGGGGTCAGGGACCTAATTCTGCAACCTGTGCCGGCCCAGGTGCGCAGCCTGGCTCCATGGCAGCCTCGCCCCTCTCTACCCTCTCTGCGGCTGCCGCCAGCTTGACTCCCCCAGGCTCTCGCACACCCAGTCCCAGGAGCAGGTGGAAAGCAGGGACAGTGAAGAATAGAGACTTGCCCCGGCCCTGCCACTCACACCTGTGACCTGCGGCCAGCCAGCCATGTGCTCTGGCCATGGCCTTCTCGTCTGTGGAGTAAGGCGGTGCCCTAAGTTAGCAGATTTTCAGGCTGCATTCTGCAGCTTCACCGCCCCTTCCCCCCCACCCCCCCATTCCCTTCAACCAGTTGAAAGGACTCTTCAGAAGGAAGGGCGAGAAGGAGGAGGAAACGCACAAATTTTAAGTCTATACCAGCCAGACTAAAATTTCTTATAGCTCAAACATTCAGACATTTCCTTCCTATTTTAAAACCTTTTCAGGGGACCCAGAAGAATGTGAGAAAATTAAAGTCTTCCTGATCAAAGCAGATTGGAAGGCATGGAAATTTGCCTGATCTTTTGACCTTGTCTGGAGGTCTCAGGTTGAGATGGCAGCTGGGATGAGAGCTACAGGATTCCTGCCTCCAGGAGAACTCCTGCATCTGAGAGGGCTGGGTGGGGCCCTGAGGTCGCAGCTGTGTGGGTGCCAGCTTCTGCAGCTGCCCCACACCCTGGCACACACAGGCTCCCTGGTGCTGGCCAGTTGGCTGCTGTGGACAGAGATGGTCCTCTGCTGCCCCCTGGTGGCCATTGTCACCATGGGTCCAGCCTCTGGGCCAGCTCAGCTTGGGGCCCCCTCTCCCCAGCACAGGTGGTTGGCACCTCCAGGCTGTTGGGTGCACCCTGCCCACCCCTGGCCTGGAGCTTCAGCCACCTTACAGGCCCTGGCAATGGCGAGCCTGGGCAGGAGATGCCCGGTCTTCACTTACAGGCTTCTCCCCAAGAGGGATCCTGTCACCCTTGGCATTGCATCACCTGTTCTACGTGGGAGCCTAGACAGCCATCCCAGCTCTCCCACTGCAGAGGCCTCCCTGTTGGCCCAAGTCACTCTGTCACCTGGTTCATCAGCAACATCCAAACGTATCCCTCCCTGGGGACCCCAAGTCTCAGAGGTTGAACAGACAGGTCGCACGTCAGGCTGTGTTGAGCCCCACCAGGCCCGAATGTGCTGCCTCAGCCTTCAGAGTGTCTTTGTGAGGCAGAATCGTGGACAGTGAACAGCAGACGTGGGAGTCCAGGTGTCAGGGTTTGCTCTCGGCCGCCTGTGGGAATCAAGGGCTTGTTTGGCTCTGCCCTTCTCTCTGCTCCTCTCCCCTCCCCTCATCAGTCCAGCAGAGCCACTCAGAACACACGTGGCTTTCTGCTCCCCTCCCCTCATCAGCCCAGCAGATGCCAAGGCCCACAGGAAAACCAAGGCTGGGACTCGGAGCTCAAAACCCACAGTCCCCAAGAGTGAAAATGGTGTGACTTCCCTGGCCAAAAAGAAGACAGGGAACAAGGTCCTTAAAGAGGCCACTGCCCAGGGGGCCAGGAAAGGGTCGAAAGCCAAAGCTGCTGCTGCTCCTAAGGACAGCGAGTCCAAGATGGTACCTGAACCACTGACCAGGAAGACAGAGGTCCCCAGGGGCCCAAGAAGGCCTGGCACGTCCACCACGGCCTCATCATCCAAAGAGACCAGGGTGAAGGCAGAAGCCAAGAGCTAGAGGCGGGGTGGAGAGACACTAAGATTCAGAGTTTTTATTCCCCCAAAAAAACACATCACTTTATTTTACTGTAACCTATTTATCAATAAAGAATTTTTTCTCCCTCACAAAAAAAAAGGCAGTGCCCTCCTGTGGCTCATCTGGGCCACTGAATGAGCGTGGCCTTTTCTTGGAGCAGACTCAGGCGTGGCACTGCAGTGCCCACAAATAACTGAAGTTACAGCCCAGCCTCCTGACTCACAGTCTATGGACACAACCCTCTGGTCTCATCTCCTGCCTCGCTCCTCCACACTCACCCTACTCCAGCTGTGCCAGTCTTTTCTCACACATCAAGCTTGTCCCTACCGCAGGCCCTTTGCACATGCTGTTTTCGTTACCTGAAACACACTGCCCCCTGTTCTGCACGTGGCTAGCGCCTCCTATTCTATTTTTAGCTCTAGTTCACCTCCTAGGGAAACCTTCTGTGATGACTCTAACGCACTCTCTCCCCCAGCTCACCTTCATTGTCTCTCTCCCTTCACCCTGTTTTATTTTTCTGAACAGTTGTCACTATCTGAATTCACCTTATTCATTCCTTGTTTATTATGCATAGATTGACCCCTCTGCACCCTCCATACACACCTAGAGGGGAAGCTTACGAAAGCAGGGCATCCTTGTCTTTCTTCCACCCCAGCACCTGGCACAGGCACTCAGCATACGTGGGTATTTGTTGAATGATCGCACACATGAATTAATGAGTGGGGTCAGTGGCTGGCTGGGAGGCCATCACCGCGCTCCTGGGGACTGGCCTCTGTCACTCGGGAATGCTGCTCCGTGCTTGTCCCCCTCCCTCTCTAACATGGACTCTCTCCACAGCGGTCTTGCTGACAGTGTGCTGCCTGAGGAGGAAGAAGAAGGCGGCCAACCCGGAGAACAACCTGAGCTACTGGAACAACGCCATCACCATGGACTACTTCAACAAGCACGCCGTGGAGCTGCCCAGGGAGATCCAGTCCCTCACCACCTCTGAGGTACGGAGCCCCGACCAAGGGTGCCCCTGGAGGTGCTGGCCCTACTGCCCGGAAAGTCACAGGCTCCCGAGAGAGCTGTGGAGGGAGCATCTGCACGTTTCCAGGCACCTTGCTCCTCAAAGCGTGGTCCCCGGGCCAGCAGCACAGGAGGCTACAGCCCGCCCAGCCCTGTGATCAGGGTCTGCACTTCAGGGACAATCCCAGGCACCTTATGCACATGTTAAAGTTTTGGAGTCACTGTTCCTGGGAACAAGCCAACAAATATTCGCAGAGCACCCGTGTTACTCCCCGGGGACTGTGGAGATGCTCCCCAGGGGCCCAGATTCCAACGTGCTTGGGGCCTGAGCCTCATGCATCATTCGGAAACAACGCAGACTAGGGGAGATGCAAGAGGCGTCACAGAGCTGCGGGCACCCGAGGAAGTCTGCTCAGAGGACTTAGCAGGTGTCCCAGCAAAGAGCGTGGCTGAGTCAGGTGGGGAGGGTGTGGGGTGTAGCTGAGGAGCATTTGCCCAGCACGACCTGGATGGCTGGTTAGAGAGCTGGGCTCGGGACCCAGGTCTTTGACTTGGGCGCTGTGCCCTTTCCACTCTGAAGGGAAGGTGGGTAGAGGCCAGGGTGCAGCAGGATTGGCAGGTGGATGGGCATGGTCTTGAATGGGCCTGAATGGACTTTAGTCGTGGGCAGCAGAGGGTCATTGGAAGTTCTGAGTTTTGTGTGACCGGGTTTTAGGACAAGGCAGAGGCTGGCCCACTTTGAGTGTAGGCTGCAAACCCCTGAGCTCTAACTTCCTCATACTCTCTTTGCAAAATCAGCCCATGAAAGCCAAAGGTGAAGGGCAGCGCTTGTGAGCATACGACGGGAAGGCCGGGTAGTCTTTCCGGCCCAGAGCACAGGCCATGGGCACAGCTAGAGGCTCTGATGTGGAGGCTGCCGATCAACACAAGCTCGGGGTTGCACACGAAGCTCAGTTTGGCTGCGGAGTGGATTGTATCGGCATCCCTCCCAGGGGGTCTACTCCCCTCTTTGGGCTTTAGTGCGGGGTGGGGAACATCCGACCCACGGGCCCTACAAGACCCTCGAAATCATTTGCCAAGGCGTTAGGGGTGAGTTAATTGTTTGATTAAATATTGCAGGCTGATTTTTTTTCAATATATTTTATTGAGTTTTTACAGAGAGGAAGGGAGAGGGATAGAGTTAGAAACATCGATGAGAGACAAACATCAATCAGCTGCCTCCTGAACACCCCCCACTGGGGATGTACCCAAAACCAAGGTACATGCCCTTGACCGGAATCAAACCTGGGACCCTTCAGTCCGCAGGCCAACGCTCTATCCACTGAGCTAAACTGGTCAGGGCCAGGCTGATTTTTAAGTTGATAATTTTGTAGGGCCCGCAAATGATGTTATACATATCCAAATGGCCCATGGCAGAAAAAAGGTTCCCCACCCTGAGCTAGAGCGATGCTACCGTTTGTCCCGCCTCCCTGGGCACACGTGTGCCCCGCAGACCACCCACAATGATCATGGGTCACAGGGTGTACTCACCGCCTTTTTTTTTTTTCATTTAATCTCTTGTTCTGGATTTATTTTTTTCCCATAAGGGAATAAGGTTTAATTCTACAAATTTACAAGCCAAGACAAAATAGAAACAAAATGTGGAAAACGAGGCCAGCATTTCGACTCGAGGCCACGTCACCACAGCCTGGGCTGCAGAAGCCTGTCATCCGGGCAGGACTGGGTCTGACCACAGGCTGCCTCTGCTCCTGCCCCTGGTCCCACTGTTTCTGGGGTCCACTCTGAATCTCAGAACTTGAGGCTGAAGCCAGGGCCTGTGGCCGAGGCCCCCCGGTTGGTGGTGGTGAGGTGGAAGCCGGTCTCCTTCAGGTCGTCACCCAGCTGGTGGAAGCCGAGGCCTCCCTTGGGGGGTCTCGGGCTGGTGCCACGCTTCACCCTTTGCTGTTCACTCTTGGCGGGCCACGTGGGGAACATCGAGGGGTCGATGGGGAGGGGGGTCTCGTGGAAATACTCGTGCTTGAGACCGTCCTCTGCGCTGACCCTCCGCTCAGGAAAGTAGGTCAGGAACTTGTTCATGAGGTCAAAGCCCTGGTCAGAGAGCAGCGCCCCGAAGCGCTTGCGCAGGTTGTTGTAGGGGTACTCGGTGAAGGTCATCTTCTTCACGGCGGGCAGCTGGTTGTAGCCGGGCCAGATCTTCTCACTGGGCGTCCCCAGGTCCTTAAACACTTTGTTGATCTGATCAATCTCCGACTTCCCTGGGAACAGTGGTTTCTGTGTCAGCAGCTCCCCAAAGATGCACCCCACAGACCACATGTCCACGGCCGTGGAGTACTCCTTGGCCCCCAGCAGCAGCTCTGGGGCACGGTACCACAAGGTCACGACAACAGGGGTGTAGGCCTTCAGAGGGGACCCATACTCCCGCGCCAGCCCAAAGTCACCCACCTTGAGGATGCCGGTGTGGCTCAGCAGCAGGTTGGAGGTCTTGAGGTCTCGGTGCAGGATCCAGTTGTCGTGCAGGTGCTTCACTCCGCACAGCAGCTGGATCATCAGTGTCTTCACCTCCCCTGGCAGGAAAGGCTGCTTCATGGTCTCCATCAGGCTCTTGAGGTCATGCTCCACGTAGTTCATCACAATGTAAATCTTGTCCATGTTGCTGCCCACGACGATCTCCCTGACCGTCACGATGTTGGGGTGCTGCGCCTTGAGAATGGTGCTGATCTCCCTCAGCGACGTGATCGGAAAGCCTTCCTTCTCCTTCTCCATTTTCAGCTGCTTCAGAGCCACAATCTCATCTGTCTTCTTGTCCTTTGCTCTGTACACCACCCCGTAGGTGCCCTCCTCAATCCTGTTCAGGCACTGGAACTCCTCCACACTGCGACAGCCCTGCAGAGCGGGCAGGTACTTGGGCAGCTCCTGCTTGGGCTCGATGGGCGACAGGGCTGGGGAGTCCGGCGCGAACTCGCCTTCCGTCAGGGCGGTGCTGTGGGGGGTGCCCTCGCCCACCTCTTCCTTCCCTTCTTCACTGTCCCCGGAACCTCGGTCAAATCGAACAACGAGGATGTGGTTCTCAGCCTCTCGCTCTCCGTCTTCACTCATTTCTTCCTCACTCACCTCCTCTGCCGACTGTCCAGACACGTCCTGGGGGTTGCTCCCAGTCTCCTCTTCCTCCTCTGATTCTTCACTGCTGCTCCCCTCCATCTCCGTTTCCTCCTCCTTAGAACCCGACCCTGATTTCCGCTGAGGAGGGACTCGGGCGAGCTGGTCTTCCGCTCGTTGTCGCTGATGTCTTGTAGGACAGACAGCAGGCTCTCTCTTTCACCTTCTCTTCTTTCACTGGCTTTCCGGCCGTCTCTCAGCTCAAACCTCTCCCGCGGAAGGCCGGGGCGGGGTGCGGCTCCGGTGGCTGGCCTTCACTTTATCGCCCTGGTCCTCTTCGCACTGCTCGGTGACGTGCAGAGGGCCTCCCCGAGCCTTGCGCAGCTCCTGCTGCTGCTCCCGCAGCTCCTTTCTGCTGCTCCCGCAGCCTCTGCTCCCGCTCCCACCCCTTTTCCAGCTGCTCCAGGCGGGCCCCCTCTCTCCGGGAATGCTCTCTCACCATCTCCCGCCGCTTCCGCCTCTCCCACTCCCTGCGAGCTTTGTCCGGCTCCTCTCCGTGCTGCTTTCTGTGCTCATGCTCCCGCTCCTTCTCCTTCACTCTGGCGTGCTGCCCGC